TTTTATGAAAGCATACTGATGTTCATTGTTAAATCTCACTGATGTAATAGTTAATTTGTGCTCTCATTAGAAAAAAAAATCTTTTTCATATGCTCAGGATATAATTTCATACAGTTCCCATAAGACTCACTTAAATTAATGTTAGCATTCATTAGTAAATAATAGAGATATAATTTGTAGACTATTGTGCCCCAAAAAAGTTCACAAGTAAAATTATTTCTAGATATAAAATGTTTAACCTTGTATAGCCAACTGTATAATATGTTAAATCAAAATATAAGCACCTCTTCCGGGGAGCCAATATAACACTTTCACTGAATCAAGAAATACTAATTAAAAACCTCGGTCTCAACACCATTCTAGATGCTCTAACTTAATAATTAAGAGGAAAGACTGGAGCCAGACTGACTGGGTTTGAATTCTTTCTCAGCAATTTATTAGCTTTTATGATTTTGAGGAATTTAATCTCTCTGTGCAGTTTCTCAACCATAAAATAGTAATGATAGCAATAATGATATGTACTTATATTGTTGTTATGACAATTAATCAGCTCATATTAGTGTTTATATATAACTAATATCATCCCAAATATGTTTGTTTTTATGAATCTATATTTATATATTCAAATATATGAAGTGATATTAGTTATATATAAATATGTAACAATATGTTAATGTACCTATGTATAAATACATATATATATATGTATTTAGAACAGATCATTTAGATCAGTGACTAAAAAACATTAGAACTTAAAAGTGTTTTCTGTCATTATTAATGATGGCTCACTAGTGAACAAAAAAGAAAGACACCTGTTTTCAGGGAACATACATGCTATGGAGAAGAAAGAGTAAATAAACGAATACTATAGAAAACCCCAATAGTAACTAATACTAGGCTAAGAACTAAAACACAGCCATGTGGTAGCGAGGGAACAGTCATATACCTCTGGCTGAGTTATGAGAGCAGGCTTCTCCTGGAAGGTGACATCTTAGTAACAAGGCCAGTAGAAAGATTTTAAATACTATTCTGTGTCCATGAAAAGCTTTTGGAGGGTTTAGGATTGAAGAAGGAGGGAGAAAAACTGGGATATGTACAGATTTTGCATATTAAAATTAGTTGAGTTTTTATATGCAAATTTTAGGAAGGCATTTTGGAAGCAGGCATGGAATAGACTTAAATAAAACAGATTATCTTCAAATATTTTATTTTGACCTATTCAGTTAATGTTAACATTTCATAAATACATCAATTACATATGACACATGTAATAAATATGTAACAAAAATCCAAAGAGGAAAAGCTGAGTATTTCATGTACCTAAACTATATAAAAGAACAATGACAAAGACTTGCCAAGATAATTCTTGAAAAAAAGAATGAGTTCTTACATAATCTTTACCTAATTTCTTCCAATGGTTGCCTCTTGCATAATTATGATACACTCTCAAAACCAGGAATTTAACATTAGAACAATCTATGTGTGTGTGTTTCCATCTTAATCGTGTGTGTAGATTCATAATATCACCACATCAATCAAGATGCAGAAATACTCTATCACACGAAGAACCCCATCTGCTAGATATACCTCCATACACACACCTAGAAGCACTGCTTTGGCTGTGTCCCACAGTTTTTGATATGTTGTATTTTAATTTTCATTAAACTTAATGCATTTTTAAAAATTTTTCTTAAGTCTTCTTCTGAGACACATAGATTTTTTTAAGAAGTGGTTGTTGAGTTCCAGGTGTTTGTAGACTTTGTGCTACCTTCTCCTCATTGATTTCTAAGTGGATTCCATTGTGCTTAGGTCAGGAACACCCTTTGTATAATTTCATTTTTTTAATCTGTTGAGATTTTATGACTTAGGGTATCTATCTGGTACCTATCTGGAGATGCTTAGAAAATGTGTATTCTGCTACTGTTTAATGTCATCATATCACATTCAAATAAACAAGAAAAACAATCTAGCTTATTGAAGGATCTCCTTTATTTTATCTCAGCAGTGTCTCTCAAGCTGAAAATAATACCGTTCACAAGATGACAAAACTAACAAAAACCTACCACTTCTCCATCTGCTCACCTTTATCTCTTTTGTTTCCCCAATTCTGTTTCTTCCTTTTCACACTTAACCTACTCAAAGCCATGATCAGCCCATTAGAAAAGTGCTCAGCTTGTTTCTGTGGAATATGGTCCCCTTTCCTCTTTCCCTTCTCCTTATAGGGCTCGTGTTTTACTTTACTTTCAGTTGTTATCCATCAACAATTATACACAAACAATTCTGAACTTCCTCTTCACTCTTAGCTGCTCAACTGGCAAAGCCGATGATGTTTACAGAGTTGCAAACCAGAAAGTGCTAAATTGATGCAGCACATTTGCATACATTCCACTTGAAAAAATTAAAACAACATAAAACAAGGCAGGTGAGGCATCCCGGGGAAGTGGTGTGAAGGCAATTATTCTGTTTAAAATGTTTTGTCTATATATGGTATGCATGCCATCATTCACAGCCTGTCTTCCTGAATGTGATTTCTGACATCCTGTTGTTCGCTGCGCTACTTAATTACAGTGAGTAATGAAGAGATTTTAAAACCACACTGTCACAGTTAATAGGGTGAATAATTAAAGTAATAGTAGAGTTGGTTTCCCTTCTGTACAAACCGTTTGGTCTTCTAACACATTGTTTAGATTTGCCCACAGAGTGATTCTCTGCCTCAGAATTTACTGCTGCATTGTTTCAGAAGCCTGACTTGACCACTGTGCTCATCACAAGAAGAATGTGAGAGTTAACCTGTGTGAACTCCCTGAAATAACATACTAAGGCAGATAGTTACAGCTTTACATTTCTTTCTCTCTCCCTACCCTTTTCTGGGATTAGGGTGGGCAATTTGTTCTCCTGAAGCAACACTCAGTTGATAATCCATTAGGTGAAAAATTATGAATTCTCAGATTTTCTTTAGTTTCTCAGAGATAAAATAGACAGGTGGAGAAGAGGCATAAACAAAAATAATCTTCACAGTCATTTTTAATTAGTGAGAACAAAAGTATAGAAACCAAAAGTAGCTGACACCAAGGGGTGGGAAAAAGCAAGCATTACTATGATGAAGAAAGGTTCCCGGGAGGGGCACCTGCCTGACCCAGTCAATTAAGCATTCAACTCTTGATTTCAACTCAGGTCATGATCTCAGGGTTCTGGGATCTAGCCTCATGTCATCTCCTTGTTATCTCAGGCTCTGTGCTCAGTGGGGAGTCTGCTTGAGATTCTCTGGCTCTCTCCCCTCCCTTTTATTCCCTCCCCATGCTCAAGCACTCTCTCTCTCTCAAATAAATAAATAAATCTTAAATTGGAAGGAAGGAAGAAAGGAAGGAAGAAAGGAAGGAAGGGAGGAAGGAAGGAAAGAAAGTTGGTTCATGGGAGACAGAAATGGAAAATAAGCCAAAGGGAGAAGTTTGGGGTCAGATTAGGAAGAGTCTTTAATGTCAAGTTAATTATGTGTAATTTACTCTGCAAGAAACTCAGGACCATAGAGCTATGAGCATGAATGTAACGTCATGCAAGTGATTTTAGAAAGATTAAAAAAGGTTAAAGAGTATTGGTTTGTGAGGCATGTGCTTAGTGCTTTAGGATGGATACTAGTTAACTTCAGGTCTTCCAGTGGCTAGAATTCTTCATACATAACTTAAGATGTTATTGTTTAGGAAGTAGATCCGCATATTGGCAACATCTCAGGATTAAAGTAAAAAAAAAACAAAAGTCGTGTCATCTTCCTAGTCTTAGTTTTCTCATCCTGTAAAACATGCTTGTCCTGTCTTCCTCATGGGGTGGCAGCTAGGAGCAAAGTGAGCTGTTTATTGCTGATCCCATGAAAGGAAATCAAATAAGCTGTTGACCAAGTACATCAAGTACATCAGGGTTTGTGCTGGCTACAGGGACAGAGACAGCCACGTTGACAGAGTGCTAAGTATTATCTTGTAAGAGGGAGGTCTGAGTCGAGTATTTACAAAGTTCTGGGTGTCTGGGGTAAGACAAGACTTCTTTTTATTTTATTTTATTTTATTTTATTTTATTTATTTTATTTTATTTTATTTTATTTTATTATTTTATTTTATTTATTTTTATTTTATTTTATTTCATTTCATTTCATTATTTTATTTTATTTTATTATTTATTTTATTTATTTATTTATTTGTTTATTTTTAAGACAAGACTTTCAATTTGGAGGCTGGACCGGGCTGGGCCATGTTTTTAATATCATAGTTTGGAATTAGTACATATGAGGCATTGTTTAAAATGAATTTTGTGAAGTAAACAGTTGTTTCATAAATACCATTTGGTAACTGATTTTTCTGGGAAGGAAGCTTCTGAAAGAAACAATAAAGTTACCTCCAGTCTCATCTTCCTGAGAAAGAATTCTCTAGAAGAGTAAAGTAATATCCATGCAAATGACTGTAAACTAAAGTCATTTACTTTTCTTTGTAGGCAAGCTTTATTTTCAACCCTACTAAGCTGTGTGGCTTAATTTCATAGTAGATACCGTGAGAAATGGGTGCACTATAGAAATGAAGGTTGAGGGATCCCTGGGTGGCACAGCGGTTTGGCGCCTGCCTTTGGCCCAGGGTGCTATCCTGGAGACCCGGGATCGAATCCCACGTCGGGCTCCCGGTGCATGGAGCCTGCTTCTCCCTCTGCCTGTGTCTCTGCTTCTCTCTCTCTCTCTCTCTCTGTGACTATCATAAAAAAAAAAAAAATTAGAAATGAAGGTTGAACCCTTTAAGAGACGTGAATCTGGTTCCAAACCACCCAAGGGAGCGTTAGACATTGCTGTAATTTCCAAAATGCATGCAGTTAATAAATTCATCAAACTACACACTCAAAATGGCTAAATTCTATTGTATGTAAATAATGCCTTCATTTAAAAAATATGTAAGCCTGCGCCCGCGGCCCCCACCCGCAGCCCCGTTATCCGTTACAGCACCGATGTGAGTGTGGACCAAGTGAAAGCTCTGGCCTATCTGATGACCTACAAGTGTGCAGTGGTTGATGTGCTATTTGGGGGTGCCAAGGCTGGTGTTAAGATCAATCCCAAAAACTACACTGATAATGAATTGGAAAAGATCACAAGGAGGTTTACCATGGAGCTGGCAAAAAAGGGCTTTATTGGTCCTGGCATTGATGTGCCTGCCCCAGACATGAGCCCAGGTGAGCGGGAGATGTCCTGGATTGCTGCCACCTACGCCAGCACCATAGGGCACTATGATATTAATGCCCGTGCCTGTGTTACCGGTAAGCCCATCAGTCAGGGTGGGATCCATGGGCGGATCTCTGCAACTGGCCAGGGAGTCTTCCATGGGATTGAAAATTTCATCAATGAAGTTTCTTACATGAGTATTTTAGGAATGACACCAGGGTTTGGAGATAAAACGTTTGTTGTTCAGGGATTTGGTAACGTGGGCCTGCACTCTATGAGATACTTACATCGTTTTGGTGCTAAATGTGTTGGTGTTGGTGAATCTGATGCGAGCATATGATGGTATTGACCCAACGGAACTGGAAGACTTCAAATTGCAACATGGATCAATCCTGGGCTTCCCCAGGGCAAAGCCCTATGAAGGGAGCATCTTGGAAGCTGATTGTGACATCCTGATCCCTGCTGCCAGCGAGAAGCAGCTGACCAAGTCCAACGTGCACAGAGTCAAAGCCAAGATCATTGCTGAGGGTGCCAATGGACCAACAACCCCAGAGGCCGATAAGATCTTCCTGGAGAGGAACATCATCATGGTGATTCCAGACCTCTACTTGAATGCTGGAGGAGTGACAGCATCTTACTTTGAGTGGCTGAAGAATCTGAATCATGTCAGCTATGGCCGTTTGACCTTCAAATATGAAAGGGATTCTAACTACCGCTTGCTCATGTCTGTTCAAGAGAGCTTGGAAAGGAAATTTGGAAGGCATGGTGGAACTATTCCCGTTGTGCCCACAGCAGAATTCCAAGACAGGATATCGGGCGCCTCCAAGAAGGGCATCGTGCACTCTGGCCTAGCTTACACCATGGAACTAGAAACGACCTGTGCCACAGAGCCATTTGGGTATTTTTTGCCTTTAAATGGAAGGTCTCTTCCCTCTGGCTGTGCTGCCTTCCTCCGGCTGCTCCGGAAGGTGGGACCCCCAGGGCGGATCCTGGGGCCAGGAATGCACCTGTTGCCCAGCAGCAGCCAGTGGCTCACTGCCTTGGCTCTGGACGAGTCTGAGACCTGCGGTAGCTCTGATGCCTCTGAGCAGCAGGTGTGGAGCATTTTCAGGGGGTGGCATGGTCTGCAAGTGACTTACTGGTATTTTACATCAGCAAAATAACTCAGTTTTACAGATTGCAACAAAGATAAAAGCTGTTTCTCTTTATGCATGTTATTCTCTTAGAATAAAATAAGCACATGCTGCTGTAATAAAATTGCCTTTAATCACTTAAAGAAATAAAAAATAAAAAATATGTAAATGAAAAATTGAGTCTCCATACTCCCTCCCAAATTTGTATTATTTCCCTAAATTCTTCCATTCACTTTCCAATGCAAGACATTCTGGTTCCACATTCTAATATCCCAGTGTTTTAAGAACCAAATCTTTCCAAAAAGAAAGAGCGTTTACAGAAAAATTCCTAATATGTCTCATGTTCCCATGTAAATTTTTCTTAATTTTTCCAAACATCCACACTTACTTAATGTTCTGTCTTTGTTCAATTTTTCCAATAACCTAAATAGAGCAGCCCCTATCTCTGTGTATTAATCTTGTATACACATCCTCATGAACTAACTTAAATAGGATCTTTTCTGAAAAATCTTTCCACGTTCCTCTTACAACATTTTCATACCAGGCTTATGGCATTTATTGCTTTTATTCTGGATTGTAGACACTTGCTTATAGGTGTGTCAAATCATTAAAACGAGGATTCAAATCTGTTTCATCTCTCCAAGTCTTCTATTATTTAAAAATAGACCTTTCTTGGCTCAGTGGTTGAGCGACGGCCTTCAGCTCAGGTCGTGATCCTGGCGTCCTGGGATCGAGTCTCACACTGGGCTCCCCACAGGGAGCCTGCTTCTCCCTCTGCCTATGATCCTTCCTCTCTCTCTGTGTCTCTCATGAATAAATAAATAAAAAACATCATTAAAAAAGAAACATCCGATTCTTGGTTTCAGCTCAGGGTTAGGAAATCAGGCTCCCCATCAGGCATGAGTGGGGAGCCTGCTTAAGACTTTCTCTCTCCCTCTTGCTCTGGCCCTCTCCCCACCCATCTTCACTCTCACTCTCTCTCTCTCTCTCTCTCTCCTCTCTCAAATAAATATATAAATAATAAAATAAAATATGAAAATAGATCTTGCATATAGAAAGTGTTTGGTAAATATTTTAAAAATGGATGATTGGTTGATTAGATTGTGTCTATTCAAGTTTCTAAAGATACCTCCAGAGGATGGTACACAGGGCAGGTAAAAGGTTCTAGTGTGCTCTAGAACTGCCAGATGATGGTCCCTGAGCCTTCAGAGAAAGGAACTCAGAAGGAGAACACAGTACACAAAGAATAACAAAAGGGAACCATAGACAACAGAGAGTGATGAAGCCTGGATTCTGTCTGCAAGTCAGCGAGAAAATATATCGTAAAACTATTTAATGTTTTCTCTGGTAACATTCCCCGTATCTCCTTTGAATCTAACCAGTAACAATTCTAATTTGGGACCTCCCCACCATTATGCTGTGCGTTTATGTGCCTACGTATCCACTACTTAAAAGTATGCATTGTCTCATAATTCTCTTTCTGCCATGCCTCAACTTTGCACAGTTCTCTGTGTAGACAAAAGACATGGCTACAATTGATTTTCCTCCAGTGATGGCATTTAATTAATCACCCCAGGCCCCAGCACCTGAATTCTGTTTCTCTTGTCATTTCCTCCCTGCCCCACTGCTTTATACTATTTTGCATTTCAAACACCGTGGTATACTTGTTATAACACCTATTAGGTTCCCTTCTCAAGCTTTGAACTCACTCAGGCTGCAGAATGGATCATCTTATTATCTCAGGCTCTCAGGTAAACTGTAGCAGGGCTGTGATTTGCATGAAGCACATCTTTCAGGGTGTGGGAAGGACCAAGATGACAGGATGGAAGCACCAGGCTTTCAACTTAATTAGTTCCACCCCCATGTCTGGAATTTTTTACTTCCTACTTTCAGCCACAATTATGCAGAAAACAAGTGGAGTGGTAATATTTTACTTGTGAATTAAGGGTTTATTTAATAAAGCTGTGCCGCCTTGTTACCTATTTCTTGGAGCCTAAGGCACATCTGTGTAAAGATAAATAGAAATTCCTATTTATGTGCTATTTCTTTTAAAACTTTGCTCTCTCCTGAATTAATATTAATTATTTGAAAAAGGAGGAAGAGAGTAAAAGTAATGCATACATTGCCAATTATCCTAAGACCCAAAAGCACAGTGTCTGGGTATTAGATTCAAAATAAATAACTTGGGTAATTCCATCGTCCATTTTATTTTGAAAACTTTATATGGAGGGATGCCTGGATGGCTCAGCGGTTGAGCATCTCCCTTTGGCTCAGAGCTTGATCCCGGGGTCCTGGGATCAATTCTTGCATCCGGCTCCTTGCAGGGAGCCTGCTTCTCCCTCTGCCTGTGTCTCTGCCTCTCCTTCTGTGTCTCTCATGGATAAATTAAAAAAAATATAAAAAGAAAGAAAAAGAAAGAAAGAAAAAAAGAAAGAAAGAAAGAAAGAAAGAAAGAAAGAAAGAAAGAAAGAAAGAAGAAAGAAAACTTTAGAAGAGAACAAATCAGATTCGATTTTGTACCTAACAAACAAGGAGGGAAATTTCTGGGTGGAGCTGTGACGTTTTAAACAGGGCCATTCAAAATTGTGTTTTCTTTTGAAATTGCAGCTACTCTGTCTCTCAGCCTTTACCCTGAAATTCAAATGGTGGTTGTTGCCTTCCCCTGAGGATTAGGAGAGCATTTTACTAAATGAATAAACATACAAAATCTTCAAAAATCGTGGGAAAAGTCTCCCTTTTTTTTGTTTTTTTGTTTTTTTGGGGGGGCTTTTTTTTGGTTTTGGGGTTTCAAAACGCCTCCAGTGACGGTGAGAGAAAAGTCATACAGAGAGATGGTCTATGATATTTCTTCTCCCTAAAATATACTTTCCCTCACCCACGTTTTTTTAAGAATTTTTTAAAGATTTTATTTATTTATTTATTCATGAAAGACCCACACAGAGAGAAAGACAGAGACAGAGACACAGGTAGAGGGAGAAGCAGGCTCCATGCAGGGAGCCTGACATGGGGCTTGATCCCGGGACTCCAGGATCACGCCTGGGGCTAAAGGCGGTTCTAAACCGCTCAGCCACCCGAGCTGCCCAACACCCAAGTTTGTTTGTTTGTTTGTTTGTTTTTTATGACAGTCACAGAGAGAGAGAGAGAGAGAGGCAGAGACACAGGTAGAGGGAGAAGCAGGCTCCATGCACCGGGAGCCTGATGTAGGATTCGATCCCGGGTCTCCAGGATCGTGCCCTGGGCCAAAGGCAGGCGCCAAATCACTGCGCCACCCAGGGATCCCAACACCCACGTTTTTTAAAGCTAGCTTCTACAGTTGGCTGTTTTTCTTTATTTTTTTTAAAGCTTTTATGTATTTATTCATGAGAGACACAGAGAGAAGTAGAGACACAGGCAGAGGGAGAAGCAGGGTCCTTATGGGAAGCTTGATGTGGGACTCGATCCCAGTACCCCGAGATCAGGCCCCCGAGCTGCAGGCAGATGCCCTCAACTGCTGAGACATGCAGCCATCCCCTGTTGGCTATCATTAAATATTACTTCTTTCAAAAAGCCTTTTCTGAAACTTGAATTAAACTAGTTGTCTCAGGGAGTTCTCAGAGCACCCAGAAACTTCTCCAGTTTGCTGCAGTTTCATGCTCTATTCTAATGCTAGCTTAACTGCTTGGACCCTCATATAAACTTCAAGCTCACTAAGAACAGTATGATGTAATATTTTACTGTTCTACTCCCAGTTGAGACACTATATTATGTACTACTAAAAAGCTCATTCCCACTCCGTGAGGCTCACAACAGAACAGGGCCTTGTGGTGAAATGAACTCCAGCCTTGGTTTACTGGCTCTGCAGTCTTTTCTCGAAATTGCTAATAATTTCAACCTTGAACTTGTATTTTATGTGTGAAGTCAATGGGACGACGGAGCCTGTGAACAAGCAGAGATAATCTGCACAGTGGGTGAGTCTGCATGCTTCCTGGCTCGCTTGTTTGCGCTCAGCTTCGAATGCCCCATGAGCAGAATCCTGGGAGGCCCGTGACACATGAAAGCAAGTACAGGGGCATCAGGTAAGGAGAGGCACTGATAACGTGGAGATGTAACACCTCCCAAAAAAGAAGACTCTGGTGTTCCAAGAAAGACAGAGAACCAAGGAAGCCGTCCCTGTTCTTTATTTGTGCTGCACGACTGTGTTAGCCAACAACTTACACTGAAAAGAAGGACATCAAGGAAAAGGAGAGTGTGGGACAAAAAAAACAGACACAAACAATTTTCTCTTTCAGCCCTTTGTACTCATCTATAAACCAAAGGTAGAGAATGTTGGTAGGAGGTGTGCATATTGGGAAGTGAAATATAAACAGCTGAGTTAATTTTGTGTGTGGTTTCCACCATTCTGGCCAGAGCTGCATACATATGCTCTCATGAGTGAAGAAATACAGATTGTGCAATTCCAGTTATTCAATATACGAGTTAAAGGCTCCTATTTGCATTTAAAACTGGTATTGCACAGCATAAAGATAAATAGTAAAAGTATCCCTAATAGGTGAGAATTTTAATTCTTCTTTAACTAGAATATTACACAGCAAATATAAAATACCATGGCTCTCTGAAAGAGCTAATAGAAGACAGGAAAATTCTTTCTATTTAGCTCCTTTAATGACTCTATTTACCTTCTTTTTCATCAAAGAAAGCCACATTTTCATTTTGCACTGAGTCCTGCAAAGTACACAGTCAGCTATGCAGTCAACTTTTGATGCAGCAAATGTGGTTTCAAACCCCCATGCATTCCAAAGAAAGAACCTGCCCTTGACTAGTTTCTGGGAGATAAACCTGAGCCCTTGCATTATCCTGCTTGATAAAAGTGCTTTCATGTACAGGAGAACTTTGGCCACACTGTATGGTTTGTGTTAATGATAGAATTAATGGCAAATATCTATTTTTATTCATCTGGGTCTCTGGGCCATGTTGTATCAGTTTAACCTCTGGGAGATGGCTGGAGGCTGAACAGCTAAGGTCAGGTACACAGGGGCTCTGTGCTCGTGTGA